TTGTGTGTTGTGTGTGCTGAGATTGATGCTGCCTTGCAGGCTGATGTGTTTCCTACAGGTGAAGTTGTTATTGATGAATTTGTTTTTGCAGCTGATGCCCTTGACATCCTTGTTGCCCCAAACACTCCATCCATAGAGCAGCCCCCGTCCTTAGAGCTGAAACAACTCCCTGAAAACCTGAAATACGCTTATTTCGTTTTGAAGAAGCATAAGAAAGGAATTGGATGGACCTTAGATGATATTTATGATATTAGTTATGCATAGGATCTCACTTGAAGATGTAGCAAAATCAGGGAGGCAGCCCCGTAACCTTTTGATCCTTGATATTGTGAAAAATGATATCATGTTCACGTGTCCATTTGACACTTTTACTTTTAGAAGAACATTCTTTGATCCAGGAATAAAAAGTGAAGGTACTCATAAAAATTGCAAAGTAAAAGGGCATTGCCTCAAGCTATTCCATGAGAGTCCCACGTTAGAAGAGGAAACTATAAAAGAGCTCTCGTTGGGAAAGGCTACTTATGCAATCATCTATCCGCCTTGATTCCTCAGGTGTGTTCTTTCCTCTCTCTCCTCTCTCTTATTTTATGCTTGTTTCTTTCATTGAGGACAATGTGTGTTTTAAGTGTGGGGGAGGGAATCATTTATTTGTTTTGTTTTCTTTGCTTTTGTTCTCTGTTTTCTTGTTTTGTTTTCAGTTATAAAAAATATAAAAAAATATGCATCTTTTTGAAAGTTTTGGGTTATAGAATAATTTGAGGTTAGTTGTGGAGACTTGGGAAAAGTTCACAAGATCGATATCGTCTTAACATTGTAAGTCTCATGCATATGGAAGTTAATTTGAATTTTTATTATGACGTAGCCTTGAATTCTCATCTTTTAATAGCTCTTGAGTAGTTAATTTCCGCAGTCAGCACCATCTCACATGCACTCTACGCAGGGAAGCCGATGAAAATAAGTGAGTGATCCAAATTTTATTTGAAAACAAAAAAGAAAGAAAAAGGAATGCGCCTTCTAAGTTTGATGACCCTCACCCGGTCACTTAACCCAACGGTCGTAGAACCTACAAAAAAAAAAGTTGATAATAAGACTCGTTGTTAGTTGGTTCAACGGTTTCTGGTGCTGAACTTGGTAGGGAAGATTACGGTCCGATCTCCCGTAACTATAATTGAGTAAACAAAGGGTTATGCCACGTAAGTACCAGAACCCCGTGCAAAAGGATCAGAGTCACTAACCAGTTTCCTTGCTATGAGTGTGTGGAGATAACGGGCTTAATGTGATTGCGCCTGAATGAAAAAGAGCAAAAAGAATGATGAGTAAGTTAGGCTTTGGCATAATAATATGATTCGAATTGGTTTGTATATTCAAGAGACAAGATTAGTGTTCCTACGATATCCTTAGTGTGCAAGATTAGTACCTATTGATGCAATCTTAACCGAAGAAGAGTTTGTAGCCTAGAATGAGTAGCTGATGATGCTGTTGTGTTTCTTTTGATTTTATTTTTCTCGGAGTGCAAAAGTTCAAGTGTAGGAGAATTTGATCAGTGCATTTTGATGCACATTCTTCCATGATTGTACTTATGCATTTCCATGGTTTGTTTAGCTTATTTTTGTATTTTATAGTGTTTTTCTATTTTAGTTTATTTCTACTCTTATTTGATTTTCGCACTTTATTTTCAGCATTAGCAGTCTGCACGAATAAATTCATAACTTGAGCTACGGAAGTTGGAATGAGGTATGCTACCAGTTGTTGGAAAGCTAAGAGAAAGAGCTACGATTTTTGTTCAAAAGTCGAGAGCTGAATCGGAATGTAGCAGGGCCGTAAAATTCGTTGAAGTTACAGCATTTTATATTTAAGTTTTGGGTCATTTGTTTTGGGCCTAGGTTATGTTTTCGACCCAGTTGGGTTATGAACCGAATCCTTGTCCTTGCTATACCTAGAAACCGCTAGAGTAATTTAGTTTTTACCTTTTCATTATTCAGAAAAAAAACTTTGACTTATACGCTTGAATGAAGAACTAATCATCCAGAGTTGATCTACTGTAATCGCGTTCCGATGCTTTGAGGTTTTTAATTTATCAATTCACTTTCATTTCTCTTTCAATTCTATTTTATGAAATTGTATTTGTTTAATCTATTATTTCATATAATGTCTTGATTAAATTCGTATGAATGTATTCCTAATCTTTAATCGTTGTTTACATCGTTTAGTCGTTAAATCGCGTTCTATATCGTGTTTGCTTAATTCACGATTATATTAATCCGTTTGCTTAATTCAGAATGGGAATTCAATCTATTTTATATCTATTGCGCTTGTCAATTGGTATTGAAATCGAATAGAGGTCGAAGCCGCTTAGGGAATTGATAAGGTAAAAAACAATGATTAGCAGGAACCTGAAAACAGTAGATCGACTTATTTTTATAATCACTTATTTTAATCACTTATTTGCCCAGCTCTTTAAAAATTGATCCTGAATTAAATCCTCCATAATCACTTATGTTGGTTAATAACAATACAAGAATCCTCGCAATACAATACTCGAGTCACTGTCGCTAAACTACTTTTTTTTTAAAGTAACTCGTTTTTTATCCGTCCGCGACAGCGGATTAGTGCCACCTCTCAACAAAAGCTGATAAAAAGAGGCGTCCAACATGGTCAAGGAGCAATCAGCAAATTCCAGGAGATGGAACTCTCTAACGATCCTCCTCACCTCCTCAGGCATTGGACTCTCAGTGAAGTTCTTCAACTTCAAACCATGAGAATCGATCTTCAACCCCAGACGCTCATAAGAAGCAAAAATAAATTATTAAACATCAAATCTTGTAAGCAAAAATAAAAACTATGTAATCAAACAAAACCAAAAATATATACATCGTCATGCCATGTCCTATAAGCAACATGGTCCGCAAATCCTATCAGCACGGACCTATCTGAAGGTCTTCTAGAGAAACCTCCATCAGTGTGTACTGATGACTCTGTAAACGCACGAATGAACCTACAACATATAAGGATTATTTCACTTGAACCAACAAGACCCACTGATAACCTCAAAGACCCACTGATAACCTCAAATATAAGGAAAGAATATACGACTAAAACTGGTATGTCATTTCACATCAAACATTTTTCAAAAATCATAAGTTGTATGGTCAAGAATTATTTTTGAAAATGCCTGACTCTCTGGACATTATGAGGTATGAAATCACCAATTGTATGACCTACATGAGAAGATTTCAACCCAAATATTTAATCTACCATGTGATAAAATCTCATGATCTTTCTTACCTACTCATTTTGAGACACATAACAATGCGGTGCACAAAGCAATCCTTGCATCAGGCTTCATGTGTAAGTAATGAGCTTTTGGGCGTAATCCACTAGCCATTTACCTTTTCATGTATATCTACAATACATTTGATCTGACCTGATCAGAAGGTTTGGACCGTCACGGCTTGCTCCGAGCTGAAGGCTTTTTGAACGAGGAGGGGGGGGTACCTGCAAGGCACTCCGATGCTAAAGTCAGTGGGAGTACGAGCAGATAATAGAGTTGAGGTTAGAATGATGAATACCTGACCCTCTGGAAACAGAGGGTATTTATAGCCCCCAGCGCTAGGCCAAGGTTCCTTCGTTGGGCTGGGCGGATTTGGCCCAATGGAGGAACTGCCAGGTCCTACGTGGGTAGTGGGGACCCGCACGTGGTCCCCTTCCTGGATGTGCTGCGTGAAGTGCGGGCGGACGGAGACGCGGTCTCTCCGGAGTATCGTTGGGGGAACGGTGGACTGGGTCTGCCCTAGCCGGGTAACTCGGGACCATGTCGAGCTGGGCAGCACGGTGCTGAGCTCGACGCCAGGGCCTCGAGCTGGACGGCGGCTGTCGAGCTGGACGCCAGGACATGGAGCTGACGGCAGGGTGTCGAGCATGACTTCACCGCGTGGGTTGGACATCGGGATGTCGAGGTGGACATCAGGGTGTCGGGCATGGACGTGACCCCCTTTGCCCAGTGTGGTCCTTAGGGAGTCCCTTTGGACTGGGCCTTAGTAATGCCTTTGGGCCTGTCGGGCCCAGTCCAGAACAGGAGCCCCCCAAGTCGTGGTTCCTTTGCGAGGAGCCATGACTTGAAACCAAGTTGTTCCGTCGTTGAGGTCTCGTGCCCGGGATGGAGGTGTGGGCCCTCGAGGGGCCTCCTCGTGTCGTGCTCGGAGACGTCCTCGGTGGTGGATGCGTGGAGGATCCGTACCGGGGTGCGTCGGTCGAGCACACGAGGCATCTTTCGGGAGCTGTGCCGCCACCCTAGGGGGGTAGGGGCATCATTGCGTTGGGAGCAGCGCGTCGAGGAGACGGAGTCCGTGGTTGAACGAGGTGACGTTTGGTATTCCACGTCATCACTATAAATAGGATCCTTGGGTCCCATAATACGTTTTCCGTTCTCCGTGCTCTCTTCGTTGCCGCTCTCAATACTCTCTCCAGTTGTGACTTCCCGTCTCAGACTCTTCCATTTCTCAGCCAAATCCCACACTTCGATCCAAGTAAGTGATCTACTTTCTTCATCTTTCCGTTTAGAATGCATGATTCCTGGAATTTGTAGATGTTTTAGGATCGTGCGCGCGGGATTAGCCCGGTAAACTCGCGTTTTGCCCGACATATTCATGTCTAGGACCGGCAAACGCATATTTGTGGCCGACACATTCATAGTTTTAGGTGAAAAACTTCAGAGCTGCCCGGGGTCTTCATGATCCTGGGCGCCTGACTCATGACGGTGCCCGGTATGTTTATGGTCGTGGCCGTGGGCTTCATAGTGCGGCTCGCCACGTTCGTACCTCGGGTCGACATGCTTGAAGAGTGGCCGCGCAGTTAGTATGAGGAGGAATACTGGGTTCAGGAGAGTCGGGGAGACATCCACTTGAGAAACGGACTTGTGTAGTCGTGTCTGGGCGACATGATTATGTCGAGTATAGGACTTCGTGCTCAACTGATTGGTTTCTCGTGCTCTGCAGGTAACCATGGCGGACGAGCCGAGCTCCTCGGGACGTCGTGATCGCGAGGAACGGAGTGCCGACGAGTCGGCCTCCCTGATAGATACCGTGACCGACCCATTGCTGGAATGGGTGGGTGACGAGCCGCGGGGGACAGCGTCGATATATAGCCGGGATGACCGACATCCATTCACTGTTATTGAAGAGGGTCACGACCAGCCCGACTTCCAGCAGAATTTCGTGGTCATGCTCCCGTCGACCAATGCAAGAATTTGCTCGGTGTATCCGAACTACAGCTTCGCGATGTATGAGATCGCGTTTAAAGACTTAGGGCTGCGGCTGCCGTTCACAGATTTTCAGGCCGGGGTCTTTATGCATTTGGAGCTGTCCCCGTCCCAGCTACACCCGAACTCTCTTGCCTTCATCCGGGCGTTTGAGTTGACGTGTCGCTACTTAAGGATAGGGGCGACCATCCCTCTTTTCTTTCGGGTATTTCACCTGCAGCGTCAGTCCCGAGGAGGGAAGCACAGCTGGGTGTCCCTGAAGCAGTCGAGGAGACTGTTTAAGATGTATATGGACTCCGTGAGGGGGTTCAAGGACAAGTGGTATGTGGTACGCCCTATTACCGACTCTGCTGTAGATTCCCTTTTCGAGGAGGAGGGGCCAGTCAGCGATGATGACGGGGAAGCGATGGTGGCCGACGACGGGAGCCCCGTGTTAGGTCGTAGGGCTAAGTTCCCGGTGTACTGGATGTCCCGACACTACGAGCATGGGACAGGTTATTTCCATACCGCAGTCGGGGATATGTGCACGGAAGATCAGCGGGCGTACGAGGTTCTTTGCCGGTTTGTCGACAGTTTTCATCCCGCCCAATGGGTTACGCGGGAAGGGAATGATATCCTCGACAAAGACGGTTACCCGACGTTCGAGTCTCGCCCGATCGACACCAAGGCGCTGGTGGAATGTCCGACATATAGGCAGGCAGCCCGCCTGTTAGGTTGTTTGCTTGAAATTCTTTATTCGTCATTTATTTATGCAATCTGCTCGATACTGACTTTTCCTTTATTTCGTGCAGGTTCGATGGCTAGCCGACATGAAAGGCTCCTGAAATTGTCAAACGACCAGAGACGAGGCAGGAGGGTCGTGAAGCCCCCGCAGATGACGAGGATGGGACCACCACAAAGCCCGAACGCTCCCCAGCCGGTGAGGGTGGACTCGACGTCGAGCTCGGGGCCCGCGTCAGATCCAGAGGTCGAGGAGATTGATCCCAGTGCTGTTTTGACGCAGAGGAAGAGGACCCGCGTGGAAGGCGGTTCGACTGTCGGGGAGGATGCCGGTGATGTTCAATCTTTTGCCTTCCCCCCTTGCTTCGAAGAGGCGGGCTTTTTCGAGCGATTTCCTCCGACAGTGGTCGCCCATGAAGCTGAGGCCATAAAGAAGATGACTAAAGAGGAGAGGAAGTCGTATCTGGCCGCCAGCGTGGACGGGCTGGTGAAAATGGCCGAAATGGCTTTGGTGTTATCTGAGGATGCAGGGGATGCTGCTCGTGTCGAAGAGCTCGAGCAGGAGAAGGCGGCCTTGACTGCGAGCTCGCGGAAGTTGAAGGTCGCTCTGGAACGCTCCGAGGGGATGTTCCGAGAGCAGACCGCGATACTTGATGCCGAGAGGGAGATGCTGACCCTGGAAAAGGAGAAGTCGGGGAGGTTGACTGAGGAAGGGGAGTTGCTCTGGACCGACAGGGATCGCTTGGCTGCTGAGGTCGAACGCCTGGGTAAACAGGTTGAGGAAATGAATGTTGTCCTGCAACCTGCCGAAGATGAGCCCGAGGATATAGAAGCCTTGAAGAGTCGGGCGGAGCTGGTCGCCCACATCCGGCTCCTCGAGGTGGACTGCGTCGGTGCTCTGGAGGACGGGTTCAATTCTGCGGTCGATCAGCTCTCATTGCTAAACCCTGGCCTGATCACCGAGGGTATCGGACACACACACCGGGTTGTAGGTGGCGCGATCATTCCTCCGCCCGACTCTCCCAGCGTCGACAACGATGATTTCGTGGAAGTTGAGTAGGATAGCGGGCCTGCGTGCCCTTGATTTTTGTACTCTTTGGGCCTGCGTGCCCGTTTATTGTATGTTATAAACATCGCCGGCCTTCTTGGTCGGTTTAATATTGCTTTGTTGCCTTCGGGCGTTTATACCTTGTTATTTATTTTGGATTTTTTGCCCTTGTTTGCAATCACATGCTTGTATGAATTTAGCCTAAGTCTCGGGCCCGAGGAGTGCCCGTAGGTGGCTTTGATTTGGCGAGCGAATATGCTCGTCTCTGTCGTATGCAATCTCGGCCCTATTTTGATTGGCCGGGGTTGCCTAAGTGTTGCGCTCGAGGGGGGAGATTTTCTTTTGACCCTTGTAGATGTCCCGTTATTCTTGATGGAATGTCGGGCAATTAGGAGCGAGGTTGCTCAGTCGGGCGTGGAGCCCGTTAGGGACGATTCGCCCTTGGCGTGAACTGCCCATCACGAGCTAGGTGTCCTGCCTTATGGGTACGACGACGGTGGGGCTCGGTACAGCTGTCCACGTCGGGCACTAATGATCGTCATCGTTTACCGCGCGATGCCGTGCCATTTTGGTCGTGTGTCGGGCCTGTACCTTAGCCTTAAACGAAATTGGACGTTTTTCCTCGTTGCCCGAGCGTGGTTGCTGCTGGTCGAGGGTCCTAGGTGTTGACAGTTTCTAACTGTAGTACTGCTTCAACTTGGCAGCATTCCAGGGTCTTGGTAATGGCTCTCCGTCTAACTGCTCGAGATAGTACGCCCCGGTACCCGTGGTGCCGTGGACGCGGTAAGGTCCTTCCCAGTTCGCGGCCAACTTCCCTTCGCGGGAGTCTTTCTGGTTCCTGCGTAGTACCAGGCTGCCTATTTCGAACTCGCGCTTGATGACCTTGTCGTTGTGGCGTAGAGCCACTCGTTGTTTTAGGGTGGCCTCGCGCAGGGCAGCCCCCGATCGGATTTCCTCGACTAGGTCGAGTTCGTCTCTTAGTGCTTCGTCATTTAGCTCTTCGTCGAGGGGTTCCTCTGTTCGTCGGGATGGTTCCATGATCTCGACCGGGATGACGGCTTCGGTGCCGTAGGTCAGTCGAAATGGTGTTTCCCCAGTCGTTGAGTGGGGTGTGGTGCGGTATGCCCATAGGACGCTGTGGAGCTCCTCGACCCATCCTCTTTTGGCCTCGCCGAGTCGACGTTTGAGCCCTCGGAGGATGACTCTGTTCGCGGCTTCGGCCTGCCCGTTGGTCTGAGGGTGTTCGACCGACGTGAAGTGTTGTTTGGTCCCCAGCTTGGTGACGAAGTCTCGGAATCCGTGGTCGGTGAACTGGGTACCGTTGTCGGTCACCAGTGCCTGCGGAATTCCGAACCTGGCGAGCACGTTTCTTTTGTAGAAACGGAGGATGTTATGTGAGGTGATTTTCGCGAGTGCCTCGGCCTCGATCCATTTTGTGAAGTAATCCACGGCGACGATTAGAAATTTGTTCTGATAGGTCCCTTGCACGAAGGGCCCGAGGATGTCCATGCCCCACCAGGCGAACGGCCATGGGGACGACAATGTGTTCAGCTCGTGTGGGGGAGCGAGGTGCATATCCCCGTGCTTCTGGCACTTGTCACATTTTTTCACGTGTTCCTTGGCGTCCTGTTGCATCGTCGGCCAGTAGTATCCTGCTCGAAGGGCTTTCCTTGCCAAGGATTTACCGCCCATGTGCTGGGCGTTGATACCTTCGTGTATCTCCCGCAGTACGTCGGGGATGGCGGACTCGTCAATGCATTTCAGGAGGGGAATGGAGAATCCCCTTCTGTACAGTTTCTGCTCGAGAACAACATAGGAACATGCTCGTCGCTTGATTATGGCAGCTTCGGCCTGGTTCGACGGGAGTTCTCCCTTTGTTAGGAAATTATAAACCGGGGTCATCCAAGACGTGGCATCCCCGATGGCGTGGACCTCGACCGTAGTCGAGGGTGGTTCGATGCTCGGTCGTGCCAGAGATTCCTGGATGACGGATTTATTCCCACCTTTCTTTCGTGTGCTCGCGAGCTTGGATAATATGTCCGCCCTCGTGTTTTGCTCGCGGGGAACATGAGAGATTTCTGCTCGTACGAACTTTGCCATGTGTTTTTTGACTAAGTTCAAGTACTCAATGAGGTTGTCATTCTTGGCCTGGTAGCTTCCTTGTACTTGGGAAGCGACGAGCTGGGAGTCGGTGTAGATTTGAACTTCGCGGGCTCCTAGGTCCTCGGCTAATCTCAGTCCCGCGAGCAGGGCTTCGTATTCTGCCTGGTTATTTGATGTCGGGAAGGAGAGAACCAAGGAGTGCTCGATTACCACCCCTTCTTCGTTTTCCAGGAGGATCCCTGCGCCGCTTTCGGACGAGCTGGAGGCTCCGTCGACGAAGATGGTCCACTTGTGTCCCTTTCCCGGGGGAATGTCGTTAGTGGTCATCTCGGCGACAAAGTCGGCCAAGGCTTGTGCTTTCAGGGCTTTCCTGCTCTCGTACTGAATGTCGAATTCAGAGAGTTCCAGGGACCACTTCAGCATTCTGCCCGCCATATCTGGCCGACCCAGGAGTTGCCTCACCGGTTGATCGGTTCGCACAATGATGGTGTGTGCTAGAAAGTAATGTCTGAGCCTCCTCGCAGCGTTGACGAGGGCCAGTGCAACCTTTTCTATCTGTTGATACCTGCTCTCGGGGCCTTGTAAGGCTTTGCTCGTGAAGTAGACAGGTTTCTGCCCGTCTGGAGTCTCGCGGACAAGAGCTGCACTGATGGCTTCGTTTGAAACTGCCAAGTATAGGTAAAGTGGCTCGTTGTCATCTGGTCGAGACAGCACGGGCGGTTGAGACAGGCTCTGCTTCAGATGGCGAAGTGCGTGTTCGCATTCCTCGGTCCATTCGAAGGCTGCTTCCTTTCGAAGGAGTTTGAAAAAGGGGAGGGCGTGCTGAGCGGACTTCGCGACGAAGCGTGAGAGTGACGTTAACATGTCGTTCATGATCTGTATCGACTTCTTCGACGTCGGAGTCGGAAGATCGGCGAATGCTCGACACTTGTCGGGGTTGGCTTCAATCCCTCGTTCTGTTAGATAGAATCCGAGGAATTTTCCTGCCTTAACCCCAAACGTGCACTTCTCGGGGTTGAATCTCATTTTGCACTGTCTTGCTTGGGCGAAGACTGTTTTGAGATGAGCTGCGTGGTCGGTATCTGCTCGAGATTTGACGATCATGTCGTCCATATATACCTCGAGCATGTCGCCAATTTGTTTGTTGAACACTTTGTTCATCATGCGTTGGTAAGTCGCACCGGCGTTCTTCAGTCCGAAGGGCATTACGTTGTAGTAATAGTTGCCCGAGCTGGTCATGAACGCCGTGCAGCGTTTGTCGCCCAGGGCCATTGGGATTTGATTGTATCCCGAGTAGGCGTCCATGAACGACAAAGTCTTGTAGCCGGCCGAATTGTCGACCAGCATGTCGATGTTAGGTAGGGGAAAAGCATCCTTCGGGCAAGCCCGGTTGAGGTCGGTATAGTCAACACACATTCTCCATTTTCCATTATTCTTTTTGACAAGTACAACATTTGACAGCCAGGTGGAATACCGGGCTTCAGAAATAAAATTTGCCTCTAAGAGGTCTTTTACAGCTTTTTCAGCAGCCTCCGTTTTTTCTGGAGACTGCCTACGCCTACGTTGTACTACGGCCTTGGCGGCTGGATCAATGGCGAGGTGATGACAGGCGACCTCAGGGTCGAGTCCGGGCATCTCTGCAGCGCTCCAGGCGAAGAGATCAGCATTTTCGCGCAGACAGGCCTTGATTTGCTTCCTGGCCAAGTCGGGGAGGTCTTTGCCAATCTTCACTCCCTTGGTCGGGTCTGCTCCGAGGGGAACGAGTTCGAAATCGCCGTCCGGAATAGGTCGGAGGGGGATTTGCTCGCTGCTGGCCGGCTCGTCTTGGTCGAAGCGGGCGTCGAGGGCTATGGAGTCGACCTTTGGTGGAGCCTTCTGAACTTCTACCTCGGGAGATGCTCTGTCGGGCTCTTGCTTTGTCTTCTTGATGGGCCTTGTGCTGGTACCCACGTCGACAGTATCCCGTCCCCTTGAAGCGGCGTTGAAGCACCTGCGGGCAGCAGCGAGGTCGCCCTGGATGGTGGCTACCCTTGCCCTTTTGGTATAGAACTTCATTTTTAGATGGACAGTTGAGGGAACCGCTGTCAGCTCCGCCAATGTCGGCCTCCCCAAGATGCAATTGTATAGGGACGGGCAGTCAATGACGAGGAAGCGAACCTTCACCTGTCTTGTAGCAGTTCCTTCCCCGAACGTCACGAGGAGCTCGACATATCCCCAAGGTTTGGAGGTCGAGCCGTTGAAGCCTTGAAGGTCCGAACCTATATACGGAGACAGATGTGAGTCGTCCAATTGTAAGGTCCGGAACAGCTGGGTGTACATCACGTCGACGGAACTCCCTTCGTCGACCAGGATGCGATGTACGTCAAAATTGGCCATCTTTGCCCTTATCAGCAAGGGGATGACTGCGTTCAGTGCTCCGCCGGGGAGCTCTTCCAGGTAGAAGGTGATGGGCTCTGACCTGCCCTTCACCCTTTCGAACGTCACAGTTTGAGGGGGAGCCAGGTCGACTAGCTCGTCCAACTTCCTCTTTGTTGAGTTGATGGTGAGGTCGTTGAATCCGCCCCCGGTGATGACCATGGCGGAGGGGAAGTACTCCCACCTGCTGTGTGTTGTCAGGGGTTCCTGCAAGAGTTCGGGAACCTCGAAGTCCTCGGGCCTGGTTACCGAGAAGGCGGTCTGGATTGGCACCGACTCGTCAGATGGTCGGGCATCTTCTTCGGGCTCCTTATCTTCATGGGCGGCACGACGGGGAGCGTCGTTTCGCCTGTACTGTGCGAGCCTCCCTCCCTTGATGAGGGTTTCGATGGCGTCCTTGAGGTGGACGCAGTCCTCTGTCAAATGACCATGACTCCTATGGTATTGACAGTATTTATTTTTGTCCACCCCTGGCTTGGCCGGAGCTGGTCGGGGACGCTTGACGCCACCCTCTTTAAAATCTGTGCTAGCACACTCCGCCAAAATACGCTCGCGGGAAGCCGTGAGCGGAGTGTACTCGGTGAAACGGCCCGAGGGGCCTCTTTGCTCCCGGACCTCCCGGGGTCGATCTTCCTTCCTCTTCTCTCTGGTGCGTCGGGGAGGAGGGTCTTGTCTCGAGCTGCTGCCATGATTGCGAGCCCTGGAATCTCGTGCCCTGTTGGCAGCTTCTCTCTCCTCGTAGTCCATGTATGCTCGGGCTTTGTCGAGGAGAGCATCAAAAGTTGCAGGTGGTTCGATACCCACAGCTTTTCTGAATTCTGTGCCGGGGAGGAGGCCCCTCTCCAGCAAGTACCTCTTCATATGGTCCGCGCAGGGGACCTGGATTGCTTCCCGGTTGAAGCGGTTAATGAATTCCCTCAGAGTCTCATCCTGTCTTTGAATGATGGCCTCGAGGGCTGCCTCAGTCTTCGGGTGGCGACGGGAAGCTGTGAAGGAACTGATGAACTGGTTCTTCAGGTTCCGCCACGAGGTAATGGAGCCCGGGGCGAGTCCTTTATACCAGTCCATGGCCGCCTTCCTGAGAGTTGTGGGGAAGAGACGGCACTTGATGGGCCCCCCGACATTATGATAGTGGAGCATGGCTTCGAACCCGTCAATGTGGTCGACTGGGTCTGCTACTCCATCATACTCCTTCAGATGTGGGGGCTTCTCCATGCCCGGGGGGATAGGTGCGTCCATTATGGCCTGCGACAGGGGACCGCGGGGGTCGTCCTCGTCGCTCCTCTCCGGAGAAAGAGAAGGGGTCCTGTAATTATGTCTGGCACGATGACCGTGCTGAGATTCCCTCGAGCGTGATGCTCGGTGGTCGAAGGTAACACGCCCGTCTCTGTTGTGCCTCCTGTCGTGCCTCGGTGGGTCGCGACTGGGTTCTTCGGTAGGGATGACGGGCTGTCTCTCATATTGGGGCCGCCTCTGCTTTGGTCGGGGAGAGGGGCTCCTAGAGTTCTCCCTATAGTGTCTCCGCGGGGGAGTAGGGTGTCGAACTTCTTCGACCCGAGGAGGTGGAGATGGGGGCCTTTGATGTCTCCTCGGGGGGCGTCGATCATTTTCAAGTGCCCTTAGTCTTTCTCCTTGGGCGAATAGGAGATAATTTGTTTGGTTGATGGCCGCGAACAGTGCCTGGGTCGTGGCATCTGCCCCGGCAGGAACTTGGACTTCATAGAACCGGGCAGCTCTGCGGTAGGCGAGGGCTTCCGGGTCGTCTTCGAGTCTTGGAGGAGTCGTCGAGGATGACGCAGTGTTCCCGTCCCTGCGGGTGGAAGGTCCAGGGGCGGTTGTCACGGGGATGGCATTGTGGCCGGCATCACTGGGATTGTCCAGGTGTCCATTCTTGTCCGCGGGACCGTTGTTGGTGTCGGTGACGCGGGTGTGCTGTTCTTCACGAGCTGGATCAGCCATGACAGGTAATTGAATTGAGCTTTGGTCTTTGAAATTGTTCGTTAGACGGGGAAGCTGTTTCCCACAGACGGCGCCACTGATCTGACCTGATCAGAAGGTTTGGACCGTCACGGCTTGCTCCGAGCTGAAGGCTTTTTGAACGAGGAGGGGGGGTACCTGCAAGGCACTCCGATGCTAAAGTCAGTGGGAGTACGAGCAGATAATAGAGTTGAGGTTAGAATGATGAATACCTGACCCTCTGGAAACAGAGGGTATTTATAGCCCTCAGCGCTGGGCCAAGGTTCCTTCGTTGGGCTGGGCGGATTTGGCCCAATGGAGGAACTGCCAGGTCCTACGTGGGTAGTGGGGACCCGCACGTGGTCCCCTTCCTGGATGTGCTGCGTGAAGTGCGGGCGGACGGAGACGCGGTCTCTCCGGAGTATCGTTGGGGGAACGGTGGACTGGGTCTGCCCTAGCCGGGTAACTCGGGACCATGTCGAGCTGGGCAGCACGGTGCTGAGCTCGACGCCAGGGCCTCGAGCTGGACGGCGGCTGTCGAGCTGGACGCCAGGACATGGAGCTGACGGCAGGGTGTCGAGCATGACTTCACCGCGTGGGTTGGACATCGGGATGTCGAGGTGGACATCAGGGTGTCGGGCATGGACGTGACCCCCTTTGCCCAGTGTGGTCCTTAGGGAGTCCCTTTGGACTGGGCCTTAGTAATGCCTTTGGGCCTGTCGGGCCCAGTCCAGAACAACATTCATCAATAACAATTATTTATCAGTAAAGGCATAGGCTACTAACAATTTTCCAAGTAAACCAAGACTACTATAAAGAAAGACATAAATGCAAAGTTGATAAACATTTAATGAAAACTTTTATTTTGACAAAAAAACATATGATAAAATTTAGTTATATGTATTTATTTTTTATAATATTATACTTTCATTATAACGAGTAATATGAGTTGTTCCTAATTACCTAAAACATTTCAATTCTTACACCAAGTTGAGTTCTCACAATAGAAAAAAATGGCAACCAAAGTTCATATTCCTCCTAGGTGTTTACTATCTATGAGATATCCATTAATAAAAGATGTTAGAAAAACTACACTCCAATAATAAACAGACATGTTATAACAAAGTCTAGATATGTTATTACCTTGTAATAAGGTTTGGACTTCTTACCTTCTTAAAATTGCTGGAAGTGCTCCAAACCAGAATGCCAACCAGACTGGACCTGAAAAGCCGCGAGATCCGAACAACTCAAACAACAGAAGGAAGCTTGGTGAAATAACCATGATATCTCAGATAAACCCATACATGTGACGCTTAAATCCTGATTGTAACAGTAGGAGCAATTCAGTTTTTCCAACAGCTTCATTCGTTAAAGGGGAAAAAAATTACTCTTATCAGTCACATTTATATTTCCACCAGAAACAACATTCTTCTCTGCTTCCCCAGAAACATTGACATCCTTGCCTACGGTCTACCGCATCCCAGTTGTTAATAACACTCACATTTTCGTCTACCCTGGAAACGGCACCATTCTTGTCTGCTGGCATATCACCGCCACCAGAAACAGCAGGCACGTTTCTTATTTGTTGCCATGGCATTGGCAACATCATCAGAATTCTTATCCATTGCATGCATGCGCCTATCTTCACTTATATTTTCATCTTGACCAAGACCAGTAGCAATGTTTTCCACTGGTACATCAGTATTATAACCACCAGATACACTAACATCCTCCTCATCATGACCATAATAAACAATAACATCCTCCTCATCTACTGCATTACAGTTTTCCATTTCTTGGTTGATTGGTTCATCATATAAGAGATATATTGTTGTCTCCTCGACAATGAACCCCTCCCCAAAAACAACCTTAACCTCCACTTCGTCACCAGGTTCTAGATTTGCTGTAATACTTTGCCAATCACCATCCTCAAAGGAGATTAGTGTATCTCTTTTATAGACCTGAATGGTTGTCTTTGTGTAATTTACGACCAACATACCATCGCAACCTTCTGATATTATGTTGTCTGGGGAAGAGTAATAGCGGACAAACAACATCATACTCTTCAGGATACACCCTTTGATTGCCGGGACAACAAATATTACAGAACTACCTTTGCAACTGAAGTTTAACCAATCAGATATATTGTCACAGGGGAGCAAAAATGAATCCCAAGTCCCGTCTGCTGTCTGTACAATGAGTTTGAAAACTTTAAGAATTAAATTAGTGTCTAGTTAAAATTAAGGACGAAATAACTTAGTAAGGGGGGAAAAATTAAATTCAGGAACCAAAATTCCAGTTTACTTTTAATAAAATAGATATTCGGAAGAGATAAGCATACCTGTATAATGTTGTCTTCGGCAATATTGGATACTTGGCATTTCGTTCCCATTTGAATTAAGAAAGATTTCAAGTAATTCTTTGACCCTGAAGTGCGAACTTCACCAAGGCAATCATCAGTTAAAGGAGAAGGAAATGTATCATAGATTTGTGACGTAGTTGCCCTTGCATCCAATTTATGACAATTTGTAGCTCTTAATACATCCAAAATATTTGCCACATCTCGACTTAGTTGATGTTTAGAGCCGCACTCTACACAAAGACTTCGAAGCTTTGGAAGGTCCTTGAAAGTACCAAGAGATGATGTGGGCACATATGTTTGAACTAGAGATATCAAATTCTTTGATGGTGACATCCAAGACCGAATGATAGAAGGAAATACATCACGTGAAAATCCTTCAAAGCCACATAAAGAAATGTATCCAATGTTTTTCGATCTTACTATTGAAAAAGGCACTTTTGTTATTGCAGTCTTATCTGCAATCAAGGTTGTCAATGATTCCATTTGTTCCATGTCTTCCTCCAATCTGTTGATCATGGAACATCCGGAAAGAATCAAAGTTTCTAGAGATTTTAATTTATAGATGCTTCTAGGAAGTTCTCGAAGACCTGTGCAGTCTGTCAAATTAATAAGAAGAATTTTACGGAGAGATCCAATGCTATGGGAGACCGTAGACAAACTTGGACAGTCTTTGAGTACTAGCTTTTCAAGATTTGGCAAGCATGAAAAATCGGGGGTTTCAGTCAAATCCCGAGAATGACTAAGATTAAGAATTTTTAGATTCTCTAGCATCTGCAAGAAAATAAAACAAGATAATAAAAGTAAGAGAAGCATAGAAAAAAAATAGATTGGAATTTGGAAGATGTACTATTTACCACTAAACTAGACCCTGGCATGTATCAATCACATATTTAGTGTTGGTTTTTTGATCCCTAAAGACTGTTTAAGTTATATCAGTATTGATTTCGCTTAAATTCAAGATGAATATGTAATTTCTGAAAGTGATAACTTGATATGATTTAGTTTATGAAAGTGCTTGTATCTACAAATTTGTCCGTGGAACATAGTTGTACCTGGCTCTTCTTCCATATTTGTTTGAGATTACTATATTTTAATTCGACAACAACTAGACTTCCTTGCTGAAATCCTGCAGGAGTGTAAGTTGACGGAAATCCATGCCAGTACAACCACCTAAGATCTCCCGAAAGATTTTTAAAATGTCCATTAAGCTGTACGCCAGCAAGTTGAAGCAATCTGAGTTTATTCATCTTCTTAAATGCATTGGTATTCAGACAAACTGTATTTTTTCCTGGAAACTCCAGAGTCAGACCCTTGACAGCTTCAGTTCCCTGAAATTAAAAAACAGAGAAACATAAAACTAACAACTTTGAGATCTGGTAGCTAAAAACTTTGTAATGTAGTCTAATAATTTTGACATTAGAACCCATCTAATTAGCAAAAACTAAAACAATCATGAATTAATTTTCATATTCCATGTGATAATTAAGAATTCAAATAATGTTAATAATTGAGTCATCAATGTTTTGTTCTCTTCTTTCAATGTTGTAATTTCCTTTTGTTTTATCCTTTCCACCTTCATTGCGGATTCTTGCTCCTTACTACAGTCTTTTCGACGTTCAACGTCTATTTTTCCATTTTTTGTTTGGTAGGGGACTATTCTATATACAAATATTCTTAATATTATATATTCACAAATATTAACACTGTTCCTCAAGCTTGAGCATATAAGTCAAATGCACCAAGCTTGCCACATGTATAATTAGTTCTGAGACTTCGCAGAGATTTGGTAAACACATCTGCCAATTAATCACCAGAGTTGACAAAGCTTGTGACGATGTCGCCTGATTCAATCTTCTCTCTGACAAAGTGACAGTCTATCTCAATATGTTTGGTCCTCCCATGAAAGACTGAATTTGAAGCAATGTCTAATGTAGCTTGATTATCACAAACAAGTGTCACTGGTCTTGTTTTTTAATTTTAAGTTCTTTAAGCAACTGTTTTAACCAAATTAGTTCACTTGTGCCATTGCCATGGCCCTATACTCTGCCTCGGCGCTTGATCTTGCAACTACATTTTGTTTCTTACTTTTACAGGATATAAGGTTTCCTCCAACAAGTACACAATACCTAGAGGTGGATCGTCTATCAATGGGTGACCCTGCCCAATCAGCATCGAAGTATCCAACTATCTAAGTATGTCATTTATCTTCATACACAAGACCTTTTCCTGGAGCATATTTGATGTATCTCAGAATCCGGATAACAACATTCATGTGTTCCGGACAGGAGGAATTTAAGAACTGACTTATGACGCTGACTGCAAAAGAAATGACCGAACGAGTGACTGTGGGATAATTCAACTTTCCAACCAATCTCCTATATCTTCCTGAGTTAGATAGAGGCTCCCCCTTATTGGATAGTAGTTTGACACTTGGTTCTATAGGTGTATCAGCTGGTTTAACATTCAACAAATCTTTTCTTCCAAAAATATCCATAGCATATTTCCGCTGAGAAATCACCAATCCATCTTTAGATTGGGTTACCTCAATACCTAAGAAATAGTGGAGTTTACCAAGATCTTTTGTGTGAAATTGATTCGAGAGATGTTGTTTCAACTGGAGTTTCTTTGCTGATCACTACCAGTTATGACAGTAACCTCTACATACACAATATGATAAATACACCCTTGGGTAAGTGACGATAAAAAAATAGAATGGTCAGCTTCACTATGAACCATACCAAATTATTGTATTACAGTGATGAAGAGGCCAATGTCGAATGGCTGCAATGGCTAGAAGAAGTCTAACAGATGTCATCTTGGCTACAGTCGAGAAGGTATCACTATAATCCAATACCACTCCGACCACTACTTCAACCATTATCAAGATAGTCAAGCACGAGATCTTACGTAAGATCGAACGACCTATGAAAGATCGTAAAACTAGGATCATATCACGACACGTAAGATACTACCGAAGGATAAAATGGTAATTTCATATATATTTGAAGCCATTATAGAAGGGAGGAAATAGTGTTAAGAAAAATGATGGGAGAAGAAGAACGGGAATAGTGACAGGGAGAAGATGAACATGAATATTGATGGTAGAGGGAGAGCTGGCCGTTGCCATGGAGAAGATTAGCGGCGACTATAAGAGAGGGGCGAGAGGGGAAAACGGAATGGGGATGGGAAGATGAAGCTTGAAAATTGCAGAGGTACTAGCACCTATCGTGAAAGATGCAGCCATTTATGTTTTAGGGTTAGTATGGAGAACCTAATTGAAATAATAACTGGGTTTTCACTTTTAAAAAACCCGACCCGGTTCAAAAAAACATGTCTAACACTATTTCTTTTACGATCTTGTTCTAAAAAGCTCGATCTTGACCACGCCGTGCACGAAAAAAGATCTTTCACTGATCGTAGCACTAAAAGGCAATCTCAACATGCAAGATTGTAAGATCTTAAGATTCAACACCTTGACTACACTGACCATTATTCTAACTACCTCTGATCACCACATTATTCATCCATAATCTCTAATGTAACCATCCTCTGACCACCGTCAACAATGACAACAATCAACCACCATGTTGACCATTGTCGACCACCACTCTGACCATCGTCGATCACCACTCCATCCACCTATCAATCACCGATCTAACCATCAATCATCACCATCAATTACCACCCTAGCCACCATTTCGATCATCATAAACCACGCCTGGCATGACCACAAACCACCACTCTTGTACCATGACTATCACAAAATGTGTTTTAAAGAGGAAAGTACCAAAGTTAGACAAGGTCCAATATCAAAGACCTATGGAATCGGCACACACTAGGCTGAATTTGGCTTATGCAGTCAGTGTGGTGAGTCCATCCATGCATGATATGAGAGTGCCCGACTAGCAAGTTGTAGACAGTGTCATGAATAACTCGTAGTAGTAGTGGCTTATGCAGGTTCAGTGAATGATAGAAAATCTACTCCAGGCTATTGTATCTCCCCGTGTTTGTGGCATAGATGAGTAAGAAGCAAAGTCTAGTAGCTCGATAAGCGTTGGAGCAGAATATAGAGTTGTGACACAATGAATTTGTGAGTGATTGTGGATGAAAATTCATTGGTTAGTATTTCCAGTAATCGTGTTCAGCACAAATCATATTGGTTAACATTTCATCAAAGAGAAGCTAGAAAGTGGATAAATAGCTACAACCTACATTTCTTTAGGGCATTAGTTGGCATGTGTTAACAAATAGATTACCAAGAGAATGTTTCAGCCAACTTCCTTGGAAGTTGGAAATGATATAAATTCATTTACCAACTTCAGGAAAAATGTTGTAACTAACGTGTATTTGTAATTTTTAATTACTATTAATAATTTATAATTATTAGTACTAATTATTTTCGGCCTACTAATCAGAACTATTAGGTTTAGAATAATCTCTAAACAATTTAGTGTTTATACCTCAGAAACACTGACACCAAATATGATATCGACACTAAAATGTCGACACCAGTTATAATTTGAAAATACAAATAAATTGAACGAAATCACATGTGTGGGTGTTGTGTCGGAGTCCGACATTAACACGTTTCAAATACCAGACACGCATTTGTTCAGAGGTGTCAGTGCTACATAGGTTTGTACACTATTTACTACTTTGAAATACATATCTATTTTCTACACAAACCATAGATGAAGTTCTCAAATTAGTAATTACCTTTTGCTTTGATAATATATCAAACACTTCCTCATGGCGCCACAACCTACTGCGGTTCTCAGGATCAAATGGAGATTCCTCATATATTATTTGTCTTCCCATGTCTCTCAGCAAATCATGCATTCTAAGTTTGTTCTTGTTGTCAACAGTTACAAGGCTTCGCTCTACAAGGACTTTAATTCCAATATCGGCAAAAAATCCACACGAATTTAATATTTGTATGACATCATTTCGGTCCATCCCAATAAAAAAACAAGCTATATCAAGAAATATTTGTTGCTCCGTAACATCTTTTAAACCATCGAAGCTTACTCTTAGCTTCTTCTGTACTTGATTATCGGGGATATATTTGAGCTTCTCCAAAACTTCGTGCCACTCTGTTATTTCACAGTCAGACAAATAGGAGCCAAGGACTTCAAGTGCTAGTGGCAATCTCCCAGAGTAAGCAACCACATTGGATGAAGGTGTAGCAAAATCTTCTTCCGGACTTGGTTGCTTGAATGCATGCCAACTAAAAAGCTCAAGAGATTCACTTTCGTCCATTTCTTCTATTTTATACACTTGATCAACTCTACACGATCTAAGAAGATGCATATCTCTTGTTGTAATGATTATTCTACTCCCTGAACCAAACCATTTGCGGCTTCCACACAAAGCCTTTAGTTGGTCCAGTTCATTCACATCATCAAGCACAAACAGAACCCTTTTTTGGCCAAGTCTTTGCTTCAATATATTTTTCCCTGACTCAATGTCACGTATCTTGAATGAAGTTGTTTTGTAAACATCACAAAGTACCTGTTGTTGTAATGAGACTTGATTAGTATCCATTTCCCAAAATTCCCTTATATTCAAAAGGAAGCTCTTTCCCTCAAATTTGCTCCCAATTTTATTATAAATGGCTTTGGCAATGGTTGTTTTTCCCATACCCCCCATGCCCCATATCCCTAGAAGTAAAACATCTTCTGCTTTTTGGATGTTTAAAAGCTTAGTTGCGGCTTGCACACGAGATTCAATTCCCACTGCATGTTCAGCAACAAATAACTCTGTTCTGTCTAGCAAACGAGTAACATGTTCAACAATATTCTTGATATCACCACTTTCATTCCTATAAAATATGAACCACCGATAAGGCACACAATCAATTGTATGTATCAAAAAGAGGTGGGAGAACTATATGCAAGTATACATGCATAATTTTAAGAGAAAAAATTGCATTGGAATGGGAAATGATATAAAAGCACAAGCATCGGTAAACCAGTCATCTGTTGTCATTATTATAAGTCAAGTCAATGAAATTTACCAAAAGTCACTCGACAGCAGTTTAGGAATCTCGAGCAAGTCTAGATTCAGATGCATGTTCTGATATAATAATTATAATAGATATTACATGAAAAATGTTTTACTTTTTAGAGACGTTTATGTAAAATAAAAGTTAATCTACATATGTTCACAATTAAAAATTACAGAAAATATTTGTTTTCTAGTTAATGAACCATACTTAATTGTTTTCTAGTTAGAAACTACTCAAAAAGTCAAAATAGATTTTCATTACATTCAAATTTCAGATTTTGTAATTATTCTTAAATCCTTCAATAAGTGATAATTTTTTAAATGCTTGAATCAGTATCTTAAAATTTCTTAGAGGTGATAATTTTTCAAATGAAAGTGATTTTCAAAATGGACAGAGAGAACTTATTTTTACACCATCAAGGGCTAAGAATTTTAAAGTATCAAGGACAATATTCTAAAAGACAAAAGCAGAAACGTAAATAAATAACCTGGAATCTACGAGTACAAACCCTCCAATGCCACCGATATCAAAGAGTTCTTTTCTCCAATTACTCTTAGTGGATTTATCCACCGAGATTGTTGTTGATATAAGACCTTCAAAAGCTTTTCCAAAAAGACCTTTCTGGTGACGTACTTCTGAGGGATCTACCTCATAGAACACTGGCACGACCACCAGACCCTTGACCCTGCCAATTTCCATGATCTTCTCCAACTCTAGCATACACCATCTAGAATTAGCATAATTTGTAGACAAAACAACGATTGAAATTCTAGACTCTCCAATTGCTTGCAACAGTGAGAATGAGATCTGATCTCCTCGTTGAATCTCGTTGTCGTCTTTGAAAACATAAATCCCTGCATTTTGAAGAGACGAATGGAGATGTGACACGAACTTTGCCCGATTGTCTTCCCCTCTGAAACTCAAAAACACATCGTATGTCTTTGGCTGAAACATAAAAAAAAAAAATTAAAAAACCATAGCTTAGATATATGGTTGCTGAGTTTCTTGATGCCACCGAGACATCATCAACTATGAGGTTACCCATAATTTATTGTTATTAATTATCAATTTAGACTCATTAATTAATTTCTGATGCTCTTGTGATTAATAGGAAACCAAATGTTAATAAACTGTTTTCATTAATGAAACCAAAAAATCATACAATGGTCACACACACACCTGATCAGTCTTATTACTTGATTCCTTCTTAATGATATCTCTTGCCATGGCTTGTAGCAGAACAGGCATTTCAAGTTTGTTATTCTCATCAATGGTTACAAAGCTCTTGTCTTGAAGGAGACTTATTTGAAGAGCTGCGGATTGTGTTGACCTATTTAATGTTTGGAGTACATCATTTTGGTTCATCCCTATAAAGAAATGTGCTATATCAAGGAATATGCATTTCTCTTCATTACTCAAATTACTAAAACTCTTTTCTAGAGTATTTAGTAATCGTGGAACTGGAATGGAAAATCTTTGGAGACTCCTCAACACACCCTTCCATTCAAGTACTTCCTTTCCACGCAAGAACATCCCAAGGGCTTCAAGAGCAAGAGGTAATCCCCCACAATAAGGAACTAGTTGTCTAGAAACTTCAACAAAATCTTCTCGAGGATTCTGTGCTTGGCCGAATGCACCCGAATTCAAAACCTCGAGTGACTTACTTTGATCCAATAGTTTCACTTGATATATATGGTCAACTCCATGCTCCTTGAGTAGATGTCTGTCTCTTGTCGTGATGATTATTTTGCTACCTTCACCAAACCATTCACGACTTCCACACAAAGCATGTAGCTGCTCCAATCTATCAACACCATCAAGTACAAGAAGTATTCTTTTATGTCGAAGACTTTGTTTTATGATCACTTTCATTGACTTAATTGTGGGCATACGTATTTTAGTTGGTCCGTCAATAATGGAAAGAAGTTCGTCTAGTAATGAAACTCTACCAATATTGTTTTTCCAAAGTTCCGCAATGTTTCGGAGGAAGCACGCGTATTCAAAGTAAAGACCAATTTGAGCAAAAGTGGTTTGGGCAATGGTTGATTTACCGATCCCTGTCATCCCCCATATCCCTAGTAGGAGAGGAGATTTTGATTGTTTCAATAGTTGAACCACATCTTCCACAGCCTTAAACAACAACTTTCTTCTGTTTATCACAAACCTAACACCTTCAACTATTTCCCCAATGTTTACATTTCCATACCTGTATAAAACATGAACAAGAGATGATTACAAGTATAAGTATAACAAATATCCAACATGTTCATAGGTCAAGAGAACTTAAATGAAAATCTCAAGTCTCAAGTAGTGTAGAAAGAAGTTAAATTTGATAAGCTCACAATCAAAATATCAAATCAAAACATGTAGTATAGTAATTATTAGAAAGGCCATAATTTCAAATGAAGCGAGTTATTACAATACAAGTTTAAAATTACATGTGCGTGGGTTTGTGTAGGAGATCAATTGATCCTAAATATTTGGTAGGTTTAGTTATCAAAGCCACCCAAGTCATGAACTTATCTTCATTTTCAGAGATTTCCTTCATGGATATTCTATCAAGGAAACTAGGAAAAGACTCTCCAAACATATCTTCCTTTAAACTTCCGTAGGAGGCATGAACAACATCATAAAACAAGGGAAGAACACGTAAATCGGAGGTTCGACAACACTCGGTTATTTTCTCCAATTCTTGAATACACGAACTGGAATTAGTATAATTTATTGAAAATACAACAATAGCAATTTGGCATTCTCCAATTACATTCAGCACTGACTCTACATGTTCCCTATGTTGAAACCTCTCGTCTTCCCCAAAAACAACAATTCCAGGTTCCCAACTAAGAGCGCTACAGAGACGGGGAACAAGCTGTCCGGCATCTGTAGCGCAGAAACTCAAGAACACGTTGTACCTCCTCCTGTTTGGACCACTACTAGATCTGGAGTCAAATTTGCGACGGCTTTCGGAGGAGGAAGACATGGATGAATTTGATGGAAATTTCTCCAAATGGGTGAATCTGAAATTGCAAAACTCTCTCTGAATAGTTTATGTGAGTATTTGGAGTGAACCATCGCTGAAATTGCACAAGTCAAACTCGTCTCATATACTAGCATCCAGCGAAACTTACATAATGAAGATAAGATACGAAAATAATCTGCCTATCTTGCCGTGACACATGTCATAATAGCATTGGTTATATTTTCTTGTTTGTTAAATTAGTTACAATGTGTTGTTGTATATAAACTAATGTGAAATCAAGCTTCTCAAATGAATTTTTGTTTTGATGAAGACAAACCATGATTGACAAACAAGACAAAGATTTATGATCAAGCTCAAAGTATCTAAGGACAAAGTCTTCGGTTCAAAGCTCTTAACAACTTTCAAGGTATAATGATATTACTTACTTTGATCTTAAGATATAGATGCTCAATGGTGAATAAGAAATGTTTTATAAATCATTACTCAAGTTTTTAAATGTTAAAATTCATTTTTCACTTGAGTGCAATCGATTTGCATATTAGTGCAATCGATTGTATGCTTCAATTTTTCAGATCTTTTGTTTCTGTTTCTCAGTGCAATCGATTTACATTACCTGTACAATCGATTGCATACTTAAAATTTTCTAAACGTTTGCTTCTGTTTCTCAGTGCAATCGATTTACATTGTTTGTGCAATCGATTTACATTGCTTGTGCAATCGATTGCACTCACTTATTTTTTGTTACTGACTTCACATGCAATCGATTTACATTGCTTGTGCAATCGATTACACACTTAAAACTTTTGAAAATATAGCTGTTGAAACTCCGTGCAATCGATTTACACAAAGGGTGCAATCGATTGCATGCTGCACGATTTTGAAAAAACATCAGTTTTTCACATGCTTGTTCATAATACCTTTTCATTGAAACCTTTCATTCAATCTTGACATTTGTTCATGATTCATTTTCAGAATTTTATGTTGTTTCAAAAAGGTGCTATGAACATATAAATACTCATTTTCAAAATCATTTTCAACACTTCTTCCAAATATATTTTCTGAATTTTCAAAATACAAACTCAAGCATTTCTTCACTTTCATACATAAGTTTTCTGCACACTTTCATACATTGTTAAATAGAAAACTTTGAGCAATTATATCTTGAGTCATTGTACAATATTGTCATTGGATATTCAAAGTGGACTTGGATATTCAAAGTTTTCAAAACCAAGTTCTAACAAAACTATCTTTGTTAAGGCTAGTGATCAATCATCCAAAGAGAAAGTGAGCAAACCTAAAATAGTTCATCACTATCCTAAAAAGAAAACATTTCCTAAGAAGAAATCTTACCCCTCTAGATATAGAAGTAACTTTGAACCTACTTGTTTTTATTGTGGCATTAAAGGCCATACACCTAATGCTTTCTATGTTAGAAACTTTAGTGTGGAAAGTGGGCATTATGTGAGGGTAAAGAAAGACACTAATTATGAAGGACCCAAAGCAACTTGGGTACCTAACAAAGCCTAATTTGTTTTGCAGGTATGCTTGAAGGCCACATGCAATCTTTGGTATCTTGATAGTGGTTGTTCAAAGCATATGACAGGAGACATAAATTAATTTTCAAATCTAGTGCTAAAGGCCAAGGGTTTTGTCACTTATGGAGACAATAATAAGGGAAGAATCCTTGGCAAAGGCAAAGTTGGTGCTCCACCTTTCACATCCATTGAAGATGTTCTTTATGTTGAAGGACTAAAGCACAATCTTCTTAGTATTAGCCAACTTTGTGACAAAGGCTTCAAGATCAAGTTCACCAAGGATGAATGCTTGATAGAAGACGAAGTCACACATGAAGTTATTGTGATACAGTGGGAGAACTGACTTGAGTATTTTGCGTTTTATCGAAAATGTTGCGGTTAGCAAGAGTCGCCACCGACTTTTCTTTTATCCAAAAGGAAAGGTGAAAAAGCACAGGAAAGACCTTTGAGATTGTTTCTTGAGTTCGGGAGGTAGATTATGAAAAGGGAAGGTATTAGCACCCTTTCCATTCATGGTTTTCCATGGGCTCTTAGTTACTTGCTAGATCACTTGCTTTTGTTTTGAAATTGTGCTTTGTATGGTTTTGAAAGTATTTTGTAAAAGAGGTCATTGTTTAGGCAATCTTTGTAATGATTCTCGTTCGTAAGAATGTATACAAAGATGTTTGTCTTTTTGAAAATGTTTTCAATGTTTGTAAGATGTTTGGAAATGTGTGTGTTTGTTTTGAAAATAGAAAGGATATTCGTTTGAAATGGAGTAAGTAACTAGAAGTAATCTACCTACTCAAATGTCTTTCTTATTCCTTTTCTATTCCTTTGACATTGTTGTCTTACCATTGATTTGGTAAGCAACCCTATCTTTGAATGTAAACGGGACGGGCGTGGGTCATCGTATAACCATGATTAGCAATGTTGCAAAGTACCTTAGCATTTTTTAGGGACCAAGATCATTTTGTAAGGAAACTTTGAATAGCGTCATCGAGGGACTATGATCTTATATTTGTTTGTTTTGCCAAGATATTTCGCATGCATAATATGGCTATTTTGTATAAGGCAACCAAGTGGAGAAACCCTAAGGGTGCTTGTGTGTAAGTGTGTTATTTTCATGCTTGATTTTGTCTTGGATTAGGGTTTTCTATTTGATTTGTTTTTATCTTGCCATACAAACCCTAATTACTAGCATGATATATAAAAGCGGTAAATTGCGTAATTTAAAGATTACTACGCTATTACAATATTTTATGGGAGGGGGGAATATAAATTGTGAAGAGGGATTTGCAATAATGTAAACCTAATTAAACTATTACAACCAAATCGAATTTGTACGAATATTTGAATAAATAATATACAATATAAATATGCAATGGTATGTATGTAAGAAAAATATTTTTGCTTTGTTTTTCACATGCCAAAAGAATTTTGACCTAATCCTAATATCTTAAGAAAAGGAAATTATTTCTTGAAAAATGGTTAACCCTAATTTATAATTTAAAAGAAAATAAAGTTTCTTAAGTATTATTTTTTTATGTATTTTTTGTATTAAAATAATAAATAACATTTATAAAAAATATTTAGTCTTTTTATATGTCAAAATAAATATTTATAAGTATATAAAAAAAGATAAAAATATATATAAGTTTAACTTATTTTTATAAGTTTATTTAAGAAAGATAGTTAATATATAATAAAATAAAAATATATTTTTTATGTAAAAATAAAATAAAATAAACTAAAGTGCAATATTTAACATATTTATTTTAAATGATTTTATATATTAAAGAAAATGTTTAATAAAATAAAAAAAATAAAAATAAAAACAAAGGAATAAAATGTATGGGCCAGGGGGTATCCTGAGTAAACAGGATGTAAGCATTAGAAGAAGAAAAATACGAAGCCCAGTAGTTGAGCCCACGCTGCAAAAAATGAGAGAAATGGCCAAAAATGAGAAAATATGCAAAAAGGCAGGCACCAAGGCTCGAACCCACGACCTTGGCATTCTCAGCGCACTATTTTGCCATTGGGGTGGCTATACATCCGTTAGTTCATATGAAAACAAAAATACATAACATGAATCCCTTCCTTGCCCTGTACTTCGTCTTCTTCCTCAAGCTGGCCAGAACCTCTGTATCTTTCTCATTTCTCCATGAAAATGGAAACTTCCAACATGAAAATGATAGTATTTTTTCCCACGATTTCAGACATGTAACTTATGGAAACTAACAATCAAAGATCAAAACGAATTTTAAAGGCCCTAATTTTAAACCTAATTTTTACAAAAATTTGAACTCTAAAATTCTCTATACACAATGAATATAAATGAATTCTATGCACATGGTTGGCTTTAGCACAATAATATCTACATTTTCCTTTCACAAATCGTGGCCAATGGATACCTGTATGAAGAGATAAAAGTTGGAGTTCTTACCTCTTTCAGCTGAGATCGTGAATGGAGTTTGAGTGAGTTTTATGAAGGCTTGAAGATTCCTTTAGCTTGCCTGAACCTTCCTGAGTGTGTTCCAATCCTTGCCTTGCTTTGAAAGTGCCTGAATCTCTCTATCCAAGTTAACCTGCAAGCTTGAAAAACAAAAATGGCAGATGAAGAAGGAGGAGTTACAGTGCATGGATGATGGTCTGGAACACTTAGATATGAGGTAGGTAAAGTGTTTGAGTGATTAAAACTTGAAACGCACGAGTAAATGTGTGGATTGCTATGCTTGGTATCAACCTGCAAGTTTTGACAGTTTTTTGGTGATAGGGAGTTTTAGGGAGTTTCTGGCCTTTTGCAATCGTGTTCTAAGTTGTAATGAGTTTGTGTATAAGTATAGAGAAGGTTTTTCATCCACTCCACAACAAATTTCTCAATTATAGCCTTTTTGCACTATTACTTGCTTTTTAAGAAAGGTGAAGAGACAAGTCTCCACATGCTTTTACTGGCCTGCTTGGAGTTGGTACAAGTCCTAGACAACTTGTATTTGGTTTATAGGACTTGTGTGTGCAGAGAAAACAGGTCCAATGCTCAAGAAGTGAAAAGTTGCAAAAGTTATGCTTTTCTAAAATGGCAGTGGCAACTTTGTGCCATTTATGGAATTAAAGCTTGGACAAAGACTCTTGTGCTTAGATTAAGGCTTTATCATCCTTGTAAGCATTGAATTATGAAGTGATAAACAAGTTTGATACCTGTAAAGCAAGGATTAGGCAGCATAGGTTCAGATTTGAATTTTGTTCTTCATGAAATGGCTTGAAATCAAAGTGAGAAATTGCCAACTTCATCTCTTCGATTCTCCCTACTCAAAAATGATCTCAAAGAGTTCTTGGACATTTTGTAAAGCTTGCAATATGCTCTATAACTCATCTTTGGAATGAATTTCAAGATTCCTCTTGGAACTAGGTGAAAAATTTCCATGAAGTTAGGTAAAAAACATGCCTAAATTAGGGCAAAATTTCACTAAGTTACTTTAGTTCATG